GGCCACCGCCTCCTCCCACCAGTCCCGGGACGGGCTCTCGGGGTGTGGGGGGGTACCGTCCCACAGCGGTACCGGGTCGGTATTTGCTGCCTGGGTTGTTGCCCGCAGCCCCGGCACGGTTCTTGGTGTGGGAACGGTTCGTTTTCTTCCTTTCAGATGGCTTAAGGCTGAGCGGGAAGAACCGGAGCCTCCGGGGAGAGGCCTGGCTTGAAGTCCGGGCAGTGCCGCTGTCAAAAGTTTCTGGTTTAATTACCGAGGCCGCAGGTTTTCTCCGTGCACCAGACCTGCCCAAAACGCGGGCAGGGTGAGCAGCGTGCCGGTGCCCGGGGTTAGACCCTTGCCACGCTCGGACGTTATTTTGTCACTTGATTTTAGGAGACATGGCCGCGGGTATGGCTTAGTCTTTTTGTCTTTGAGAATCTGCTTGTTGAAGGCTTAAAGTTCCAGACACAGGTCTGCTTTGATGGTGTTTGTGTAGGTCTGTTGGAACACCGCTGTCGTTTGGCCATCGCAGTGGGAGAAGGATAAATTCCCTCCATGAAGCATTTAAAGCCCTATCTGTCTTGAACCCCATTTATAACCTGGGAAATACAAAAAGAAAAGTAACTTCGGTGTCTTTCAGGTAGTGAGCATGAACTAGTCAGAAGCTTTATTTAAGGGGCGCACTTGGAGGTGTTGAGGCTTGTTGCTCGGCATGGAGCGCTGATGGTCGCCGCTGTCTGCTTCTGTGGCTGGCTGGAAGGAGTCTGCTCTTTTTGGCCTCTGCCTGGGGGCTGCTGTCTCTTGGTGACACGGTGACGCAGATCTGTGCAGGTACAGGAGTGCCAGTACATGGAGCGAGGGATGATCCGACTGCCCACGGCTGTCGTGAACGGATCTCTGCGGTTTCCTCCCCGTAGCCCTGTCAGTGGTCCTCGACTTGTGAGGATGTGGGTCTACTTGCTGTGTGGTGTATGGACTTCTGTAGAAATGGATTTACAGGGCTTGAGGGGGTTTTGTTTCCTTGATTTTTCTTTTGTGTGTGTGTGTTTATTTTCTTTTTTGCTTGGCATGGTTATGCGTTGGAGCACATAAACATTCAGAAACAACAGTGTGGGTCAGTCTAGCTGAGACTCGTGCCTGGTAATGAGGATGTTCGGGATATGTCTTGGTGCTCCTTCTGAGTAAGATTTGTTTGGCTATCAGAGTGTTTTCTTACTGCTTGCCAGGAGGAAACCTAATCAGACAGGCATCTCTCTTCCAGCAACTTGCATAATCTTTTGTGTGTAAATTATAATATTTTAGACCCACATGACTTTTCTTGAAAAACTGGAGAAGGGCATAAGCCAGCCACTGTAGAACTTCACTGTAGGAGTCTGGTGGTCTAGTACCTCATCGTGCATTTCTCTTTGAGATCCTGGTTCTGTGAGCCAAGCGTGTCACTGCAGGTGGCAGGGATGCTTTCCTGGTAGGTGACCTTGGGGGCAGAGGCATTGCTAGGTCACCTTGCACAAAGTCACCTCATTCAAATGTCCTGAGCTCTAACAGGTGAAAAAAATCAGCATTTATAGGCTGCTCAAAGCAGCACATGAGACAGTGACTCTAAAGCAGTCTCCTAATACACCTCCTCACCCTCACATGATGGGAAAGGGATCTCTTCACGCAGTTCCTCTCGCCTGTCTTTTGGCCAGAACCTCAGGCACAGGCACAGTGGGTGCATGAGATGTCTAAGCCTCAACAGCATCTTAGAGCCATTGATGAACCAGAAATAGAACGATCTCATACTAGATTATCCACTTAGAGAGACCCGCAGTTGCGTAGCTGCACTTCCAGCTTGCAGGACTGATTGTAAATCCACTAAAAATAGATCTTTATTTAACACTAGTCTTACACGTGCTCCCTGTCAAAATGCTTTTAATTTTCCTTTCTGATGCGTGCTATTGTATTTTGTATTCTTCTCGATGTTTCTGAGAATCATAGGCAAAAGTACTTTTCAGTGTTGCTGCTCCTACAGAGTTAATACTATGCATGTTCCATGAAATAAGCCTTCAAAGATTGATTTGAACACCCAGAGCCATAGGACTATTCAACAAGTGCTATCGGAGCTAGACATCTAGTAAATTAATTGGGGGAGTGATGTAAACTTCCATAATTAGGGGCATAGGAACCCTTGACTATCAGTATTATAAATGGGGGGGGGGGGGGGGAAAAAAATTTT